CAAAGTAAATAATCTGAGGAGATTTAGGAGTTGGAAGAATAGAAAAATATCACAAATATGGGTGATATTAAAAAAAAATCCCATTGTAGTTAAAATTTATACAAACATAAATAATCACAAATAAAAAGATAATTTTTACATTAGAACACATCTCGATAAAATTGCCATATAAAACAACATTGCATGGTCTTCATATTACTGTGTTGTTATTGCTGGATTAACGAAATTATACTTAACCATATTTTGATCAGATCTGCTGGCTTAGCGTGAAACACTTAATGTGTTTCAATACTGAAAACTCCCCTAATATCTAAAATACGTACGTTTACATCGTTGGATGAAACTCCTTTTGTCTCAGGGTGATAGGTCAAAGACAAATGTTTGTACTGAGAAAAAATATAAATAATTTATTAATTTGCCAGGAAACTCATAATCGTATGAATGGTGTTATATGATGGTTAAATAGTTATTGGTAGAACTCTTTACTAGGCGTAAACATATTCCACGAAATATTGACAGGACATTTGCAAATGATAAACATACGCAGTTGTGATTAATACATTGCAAAATTTTATCGATTTCGACCGAGACAAAACTCCTTCCATTACACAACCTGTCCGGTGAAACGTGTTCGGAATAACAAACAGAACATCGCCCGTAACACTGGTTTGATGCCTCTCGTGCATTTGTTGACCCAATTCGGTTTGCCACTCAAGGATAATCCAGCAAGTGGATTGTAATGATTTTTTTTACATATTGGAAATTTGGGTAATATTATTATGAACATCTGGTGAACAGTTCCGATCATAAAATAATTTGCAATAATTTATACCGCTGAATCTGTTTCAAATTATATAAATGATTAAAAAAATTAAATCGAGGATCCAATTTTTACTCCTTACTAAAAACATCCTAACTATTCATTTTTATAATAAGTTTTTTTATGTTATAGCATAGAAAAAATGTTTGGAGATTTTATTAGATACCATTTTATTTTACTTTCTATTATCTGGAACCATTTACTGTCCCGAGAATCCTGACCAGGACACATTAGTCGAAAGCCTCTGACCTCACAAAATCGGCCTGAGAATGTAATAATAATCTACTACTTTAGGTTAATTTGACATTATCATAACAGTGGATCTTAAAAACATTATTAATATAAATGTTTATTCTTAAACTACTAATTGTTATATTACAATTATGGAGCTTTTTTGTCCTAAATCCGTTGAGCTACCAAATGTAAACCTTAAATCAATTGGCTGATAAAATAAAAACCACAGAAAAATCTCTAATCTAGAAAAGAATTCTAGTCCAAAACAGCTTTCTAGATGTTAAATGCATGTTAAATGCAACCATATTCTTTCTTTAAAATCATCTGGAAAGTTATTTAAATTTATTTTTTCCTATGTTACACTTCAATTATTCGGACGATGCTGAAATAAATTTACTGTATGATTTAAGGCAAATACAAAGCTTTTTGAGATTTTTTTGGGTTACAAAATTCTAAAACTTTTAGGTTCTAAAAAAATCTTGTTCCTAATGAGTTTTAGCTACGCCTAAATTAATATACCTTACCAATTATTTATGCAATAGAACTAATTATTACAAAAGTAAATGTAATTTACTGTCTAGCTTAATAAATATTAAAACAAAATTATAGTAATTAAAATATGTAATATTTTTGTAATTTGTGTGTTTTAGAAGAGTATTTTGTTATTGAGAAAAGTACCTATGTAGTGCTGTTTTTGCAAACCTCTTTGTATTCTGGATTAAGCATATAGTAGCCAAAGTAAGGGTTTGGAAAGCAAAAAGCGCAACCAGCGACGGGTGGAATCGATACGGAAGGTGACAAAATTTGACTAATAGTCAGGTGTTTTATTGCCCTATCTATCACGGAGAGAATAACTTTATGAATCTAAATATGACCAAACCAAGATTATTTGACTAATACGTACGAATGTGTTGTAGCATTGACTATATAACACTACTAGTGTTATATAGTCAATGGTAGTAGACTTTTTCTATTTATGGTCATTGTTTCACTCATATTCTTAGGTGTAGTTATAAATGTAGCTTTAATTCGTTTTTCTTACAGGTATATAGAAGAGTTGCCAAATAAAGCTAATAATCACTATTTTATTACCTAATATAATTTTTTTTATTTCATTTTTTGGATCAGATTTCTCAAATTTAACGTCTTAACCAATTTAATTAATAATCTTAGACTTGGTCAAATTATGCAGTAGAAAGTAAATATTAGAGTTTAACAACTGTACCAGTACATATTTAAAATTGTCTATGTAAAATGTCTAGAATATCTGGTACTTCACAGCATTAACACCACAAGTATTCTAACTATAGTTGTAAAGATCAGGTATTGAATTGAAAAAATAATTAGTTGGTACGAACTAAAATTCAAAAAAATAGATGGATAAGGGATGAATTTAAAAATCGTGAACGCATTTAAATATGATTGATTTAAAAGTACATGCCATTTTTGCTGGTCATTAAAAATATATTTCCGGTGTTGTAGTAAACCGAACAAGAAATTTTTGCGACTTTTCGTCTTTTTATCGTTGAATCATAAAATAAACAGGGAGACATTTTATGGACCTTCGAAAGACCCAATAAAGGGATCTTTTGTTATTTTATAGTTGAATCGTGTTTCAATAACAGTGAATACGATTACTCTCAAAGTTACTTGATTTTAGTGAAACATGTACTAAAAACATTGTTTTCTAGATTACAATTAATATATCAGTAACCAAATACTGATATATTTAACAGTGTCTGATTTGTATGTAGGTGAACATTAAAATCAACTATATAAAATTATTTTGCGTTTTCAGAAAATAAATTTGCATCATGGTGGCTCATTCAAGGGGGTATATCTTTTATTACATGTCAAAATTAATAAAACGCATACATACATTTACGCTTATATATTAATAATGTATGAAGGAAGTAATTTTGTGATTATTGAAAAGTTTGAGACAAATTAAGTTAGTAACCCATTTCTTCGTACTTTTAGAACCAGCTTTGGAACTAACAGAATTTTGAATCATTAAAATATGCGTGCATACTGTTTTATTCAGATTACAATAAAATCGGATACTCTTTAAGCACAAAAGTCCCGCACCTATCACCACTTCCCTGTGAGAAAATTATCCTAACTTCAGTGTAGCTAACCGAAACTACACTAAGTAACTAATCAGTCTACTGATTATAATCTCTTTGGTACACGACTGCAACCAGCCAACGTTTAGAACAGCATGTTTTGCATGTTACTAATCTGTTTTGGATATTGAACGCGTTAATTAGCGTACAGTAATCAGCAGTTGTACCTAGGTCACATACTAGCTCGAGGTCATAAACTAATCACCAAAATCCTTCGCAATTGATATGTGACAAAAATGCCTATTCGGTGTTTTGATTTAGCGTCTGAAGCGTAAACTCTATAAATCAGAAACAGAATAAAATGTTATGACTGCGAACGCACGTCATATTCTCTACGCCATAAACTCTGATCATATGATTTGCAATTAAATCTCGCAGTGATAGAGACGTAAACCCCAATTTTAAATACATCCTTTTTATTTTTTAAATGTTATTAAGGTTTCTAAAACATCATGCCGACTGATTGGTTAATTTTCATTTTGTACATAAAATTTCACAATTAACTGTATTTAACAATATAATTCATGTGCTGTAGATCATTTAAACGAAACAAAATACAGATTGACCAAAAGTTCAACAACTTTTAATAGGCTACTATGTAGTTTTTGCTTTATCTTTGATTAAAGTATTCTTATTTCAGCGGCGAAAATGCTGGATTGACACATTATGTGAAATCTTGTAGCCTATACCTTATACATTACATTGTTACATTGTTAAGATAAGCGGTACGATGTGGCCTCATTAATTTACCTCAAATAAAAAATGAGATTCTCCCATATTATGACACTCCTCACATTCACAATCTATATTTGTTACGAAAACTGTTTTGGGAACAATTATTCTGCTGTATATGTTAAAATAAAATGTTCTTTTAGTTGGGCTTTGGTTAAAAAGTTGACGTATTTGACATGAATATCAGACATGGAGTAGAGTACTTTTTCGGAATTTGAATTCTATAGTTCCATTTTAATTCTAAGCCTAGCTACAACTTTTATAATAAGGAAATGTATATGTAAAGTCCGCGGTTTTAATTGAAAGTAAATCAGCTAAAAGCCCTTATTAAGATATATTTTGCTAATGCTAATTAACACTGAAGTACACATCCTATCTAGAAGGACCAGAAAACACTTATTTTTATTAAAAAAAAAAAAAGTTAAATGAGCCATTCACATACTATAACTGTAGAAATGTATTTTTCCTCCCTTAATTTTTGTTACTGTAATTTTTGACTAGACATTAGAGGTGCTATCGCTTACAATACATCGTCCTATCAGTTTCTTTATTTAGTAGTTTGCTCAACGATCTAGTAAATACTATTTACGCAAGTTGCGTACACCACTTTACCTACGACAGTTTTTTTTAATAGCCAGCAATCACTACACGTAAATTTCAAGAGAGGTTATGTTTTCGTTTAAAACCTCTCATTGCAACTGATGCAAGTGATGCGAAGAATCTTGTACCATACATGCACCGTTCATTAAAAATTAAATTGGTCTAAACAGCTGATTAGTTGACGTTCGAAGCATTACAATTTTACTTCTTCTCTCGTAATCCTTGACCCTCATTGGTTTGGAGTTGGTAAAACAACAATGCTGTTAAGTAAGTAAACAATACAAATCGGTCATAGGTAAAATTAGGTAACGTCGATAGAAATCAGTAGAAATAATTTACGCGCACTTTGCCAGTGGCTCCATTCAACTACGTCCATTTTCAATGTAAACATTCGATAATATTAAAATTAGGGATGGGGTTCTATCAATATTTTATGATTATACGCGCAAAGTTAACATCCATCCTAAACCTATTATACTATGACTTACCTTCAAAAGCAGGTGTATCGGCGCACTGATGGAAGGCCTAGTCCGAGGAGGCGGAGTACACAGACAGGACTTGATAAGGGCCATCATGACACCTCATGTCACCCAGTGATAACCGCGATAGAGATCACAGGACAAACACACAAAGCCACGACGACGCACATCACAAGGCACATCAACTGCACAAGAGGAATCCGGTTAGAAAAGGTACTGCTTGGTTGGTTATATATTGTAAAGAGACTGCAGTAAATGTATAAAACATGGAGAGCGTGTAAAAAAAACTGTACTATGCAATAAATGCAATGCACGGTGGGGGTTCAGTAGTAAACACACTGTACAATGTGTATTTTATCACAACGGTAACTACTAAATTATTACCTACTGTGTTCAGTTATACGGATACTGTACACTGGGCATTTGATTAAAAATTGCTGTGCAATATGTATTCCGTTATACTATGTACTACATAATGAATAGGCTTATTCTTTGGGAACAGGTATTGCACGATAGGTATTCAGCATTCTGAAGGGTACTGGGCAATGGGTATTGAGTTATAAATGTAACTGGTCAATAGGTACCCCGTTAGGAAAAATACCGCATAGTGGTTATTCGATTATAGAATATACTGGATAACTAGTAATGCCTAATTAGGCTATAACTTATTGTAACAGTGTATATGATTATTTTTTATAATCACACATTTTAGAGCAAGAAGGCAACCCGCTCTTAAATACTACTTTCGGTATACGTTTATAAGATGTACGTAATAATATATGTTTTATTGTTGTTATACATTTCATATTCTAGTTTATTTTACGAACTGTATGTAACATGGCTAATATACTACTATATATAAATGGGCTTGCGTAAATGAATGCATAAAAGTATACCTTAGAATCAGTTATGTACAAAGTTTACATGGCTAATATACTTGTATATAATAATGATCTTCCTTAAAAAAATACATAATTGTTACCTTACAATAAGCTACGTACAAACTGATCATATATTATTGAATTTTTCTGTTACAAAAACTGCATACTGCGTTGGAGCAATCCACTAATGAGGCAAAACTGCTATTTCATCCTTTTAAATAGAGCAACTGAATGAAAAGGTACACGTTGATGCATTCATTAGAATGCTAAATGGAGAAATGGGCGAAGAAATTGTTTGAAAAGTTGTGCTTTGGGAACGTCAAGTAATGTGTTATTAATGAGAGACGCTTGGCTAAGCGATTTAAAATTGCCCCGAGTTAAAGATGTTACTCGGCTAAGTTTTGCTCGCTTTAATTCCGATCCAATACAACAAAAGTTTTGTTTGATAATTCTCACCTCAAATATGTAAATTACACTGAAAATTTTGTTTCAAGCAAGAACAAATTTTCCATTTAAAAAAATATAAGATTTTTTTTATTTTCCTATACATTTGTTTACCTCCCATTTAAATTAACTTTTTCGCAACTCGAGTCTACGCACATGTGACAGGTACACTGGCTATGTAGACCTTTTCCTTTGTTATAGAAGGTATTTTTTTACATTTTTGTTTGCTTCAATCCTACAGTATATAATTTTTGTTTTGTTATCTAGATAGCAATGTTAGCTGTATTATAAAAAAAATACAATGTACTGATGTATATAGTATTTGATTAATGGAAAAATAAAAAATATTTTCATTTCATTTCACTTTAACCATTTTACAATATGTACCGTGGTCACAATAGAATCAATTTGAATTTGTAATACTTTTTTGTTGATTTACATATTACCTACATTGCATTATACCCACGGAACATTAAGTAAAAAATTGTGCAGGCTGACGTTAAAAATACATTTACTGAATAAGTAAACATAATTGTTTTGGATTTAGAATAAGGCTTTGCAATGTGTACATTTCGGTATACATATGGCATAACTATTTAAAAAGGTCAGCACAAACAATACTTAGACAATAATGAAAAAGCAGTATACATTGTTTTAGTTCACCCCTTAACAAAGTTCACAAAAACAACAAAATACATTTTTTTTTTTACATCGCTTACAAGCTTGAAAACTAATTTGATGAGTCTACACTATTTAAAAAATTCTAATAAGTCTAAAGAGATCATTAAACTAATAAAATGAGTAGCGCAAAATGACAAAATTTAGGCCTACCGAAGAAAAAGGTTAGGGTGGGTCTAGGACGGCACAAAGAACACCAGATACCGAAGCCAGCGGCAACAACGGACAAACTGACACTAGTTATCAGCTGTTAGTGGCGCAAGCGTACACTGTAACACTGTCGATACACCCTCACACCCCACTGTCACAACCCCACTGTCACACCCCCACTGTCACACCCCCACTGTCACATCCCCACTGTCCGCACCCCCATCTGTCACATCCCCACTGTCACATCCCCACTGTCACACCCCCACTGGTCGCATCCCCACTGTCACATCCCCACTGTCACATCCCCACTGTCACATCCCCACTGTCACACCCCCACTGGTCGCACCCCCATCTGTCACATCCCCACTGTCACATCCCCACTGTCACATCCCCACTGTCACACCCCCACTGGTCGCACCCCCATCTGTCACATCCCCACTGTCACATCCCCACTGTCACATCCCCACTGTCACATCCCCACTGTCACACCCCCACTGGTCGCACCCCCATCTGTCACATCCCCACTGTCACATCCCCACTGTCCGCACCCCCATCTGTCACATCCCCACTGTCACATCCCCACTGTCACACCCCCACTGGTCGCATCCCCACTGTCACATCCCCACTGTCACATCCCCACTGTCACATCCCCACTGTCACACCCCCACTGGTCGCATCCCCACTGTCACACCCCCACTGTCACATCCCCAATGTCACATCCCCACTGTCTCATTTCAATAATTAGCCTATTCTTTATGCTGTAGCTTAAAAGTCTATTTTCCTAATTCGGATATAACTTACAGTAAGTGGAAACTCAAGATTAAACGACCATTCGCTGATGCTATCACTATATTTTATTGCAATTAAAAAGTAGGTAACACACAAACTACAAGGCCTTTAGACTGGATTCACCATATTTCTAGTAGTACTAACTGTTGTACCCGTGCTTGGCAACGGGAAGAGTTTCACATCAAAATCTTACATTCAAGTATGCGGTTGATAGGTGTGTGCGGGTTATGGTTTTCTCATAGGTTCTTAATCCTTATTAGCTGTTTAGCTCGTATTCTTTCTTACTACAGTACAGTGGAACCTTGATAAGAAGACCCTCGATAACAAGTCGCCCTTGATAACAATGTTATTTTCAAAACTCAATTATTTTACCCCTAATCACATGTTATTACAAACCTCGATAAGAAGTCAACCTTGATAACAAGTCTTATTTTACAATCCCCATGAGAGTCTTGTTATCAAGGTTCTACTGTATTTATATACAGACACTATTGATTATATAAATTACGTTTTAATCCGTCGTCGTCAAGATAATATTACAGTTCTTTGTTTTAGAGAGGTTCCAAAAAACTACTTTTTCTTTGTTTGAGCCCCTGTAAAGCAATTGGCAATGCTGCTAACTATGAAATAATTATCAGATAACATATTGCATTAAGTGTATTGGAGAGGAGAAGTTTAAGTGTAACTGTCCTTTATCTGTTGAAAGTTAGCTTCCAGGACTGATTATCACTCTCCAACGCGCAACGTTGACAAAGTTTTGCCATTACGGAAATCTCCCTGTCCTTTGCTAAAAAATTATCGTTGGATATTACTACCCTTAAACTTCTTTAGCTATACAGAGGTTAGTGGTGGTCATTAAATGCATTAGGTTATAAATTATAAGAAAGCCTAAAAAATAAATGGTTTGAGTTGTGAGTAGGTGTTAGGAAATGCCCACAAAATTGTTCATTGCTTGTGGGTACAAATATTTAAACAATACTGACTTACTTGAATACTTAATCGCGCTATGGGCTGAAACAGTATTCCTAAAAGGTAGTAGTATGTTCGAGTTGCCTGATATTAAGACACTATTTTAATAATACGTTAGCTAAGGCGGATGTTTAGCTTAAGTGTATTGGCAGTTAAACGCATTTTATATTTAAAGAAGCAAATTATATACAATGAATTCTTTATGAATATTTGTTGTTAATTGTTTGTATCTGTTTATAGTTTGAATTTCCTAATTTGTAATTTTTACTACAGAATATTATGTAAGCAAATCAGTTTCAGTGACTAAAGACACTTTTCACATAAGTTTTATATTACCTTTATTAGGTCTATGATTGTTATCATGTAACCAAATAATCTTACTTCAGTTGTCACAAAAGTTATTAAAACCTTAATTCAAGGCAACTGTGTTAAAAACAAACAATCGAAAATAGTTTGATGTCTAAACCACATTGTTTCTGAATTAGGTCTAAAAATAAATTGATGAAAACTGTATTGCATTAGTCAATAACTGTTCCTCTACTGGTAGGTCTAAAATTTGTTTTGTCCAGTTGACATTTGGAGTGAGAAAAGTAAGAAAGTAGGCACCTAGTTTAGAAATTAGTTGCCTTGTAAACTAATTTAAGCGAGCAAAATGTCCTTTTTATGACAAGCACCAGCAATCAGGTTTTATCAATTTGCTGTGTATTTTGTTAATAATCGACGGCCTTACGCTGTTAAATTTTTAAAATTGTCATGAACTGATTAAAATTAGTAGATAATGCACCAAAATACATGGGAAAGATACGTGTTTAATAAATTGCAACATTGCAACCAAAATATTAAAAGTTTATAAACAAACCTTATTTTAAAAGCAGCCTTGCCTCATTTTTTGTAAACAAAATATATTACAGTGTCGATGAATTTTCGAATGATGGTACTGTTTCAATTAGTTAATATTAAGTTTTTTAAAATAACGCAAAAATTATTTCTAACAAAATTTGTGTATTTTCAGTATCTTAGGTTAGTATGATTATGTAATCTGGAAAACATTATTGGACAAATATTTATTTATTTACTTAAAAATGAACCATATTAAAACCAAAAAGTACAGTAATTGCCTTAGATTATTATTGATTATTATTTATAATTATTTCTGATAAAAACTCACATATTTAATGTTTTCACACACTGTCTACA